AAAGAGTGATCTAAACAGAGCCAGTTTCATAATTTTCCCTGAACTCATCCATGGCCCCACAGAAGGTCACAAGCCATGGCTGTGTCTGCTAGCACAGGGTAGGAGAAAAGCCCTGGAGACCTGTGGCACTGCTTACTCTCAAATGTGCTATTTAAAACTACTCTCTGTGACCCAGTCTGTACTCTTTCTGCCCAAAAGAGGAGGTAAGAAGTTATTTTGCAATAACTCTAAAGCAAGTGATGGTCTTTCCACTATAACACCTGTCAGTGAAAGAATCAGACCCTTGGTCCATCTAAATCTCATGGACCTTATCAGGCTCTCCCATTTTGAACTGCCACGCCATCTTTTTTTTTCCAGATACAGAAATACTCTAGCATCACGGTAGCTACAAGCAAAGGCAATATCAGAGTTACCTTATCAATCTTACTGTAAATTACTTGCAAATTTGATTTATGTGAAGGATAAATCATGTTGGAATAGAGTCTATTATCCAATGCTCTGTACTATCTGCTGCTTGCATACTTGGGAAGGAGATTTCATTGTACGTATGAAGATCATATTGCAGTCACTTTTAACTCTCTCACTGCTGCCTATGGGCTCAAGGAAACACACCTCTATTTCTTTTCTATTACAGAATTCCAATTTTTTTTTTTTTTTCCTATTCTAAAAATGTTAGTATAATATGCCTTAAAATAAGAAACAATAGGAATGGATGCTAGTTCTGAAGGGGGCAGCTGTTTCTATAATTTGATGTTGAGATGCTTGATTTTTCACAGTTGCAGGCCCCCTTGTTTTAGGGATCTTCTAACTAAGAAAGTACATATCATTTGGAAAGAAAACAGATAGATGACATGGGCAGAATTTAACAGGTATCTATTCCTTGTCCCACACCTACTGCTGAGTCAAATTTCAGTGACAGTAAATGAGATGCCCCCAGAGGAGTTCTGCAGAGCTGAGGATGATGCCTCAACCTCTGCCTGAGCTGAGAAGATGAGGTGGAGAAGATGCATTTCCAAGGCTGCAAGCTGTGGCTCCTCTTGTAATTTTCTCTGCTCCTTTCTGCCTCACTGTCAAAATCCTCCTTCCTTGTAAAATAGAGGGAACCCATGTACAGAAACTCTCCATGTTGTGCTGAATTCAGAGACCTGCAGATAAACGCACACCTAAACTCACAAACAGATGAACTGTTGCACCCTGCTTTTACCAGCTGTCTGATGGACAGGAGAGCAGGCTGGTGACGCTTTGCGTTCTTCCATCCTGCCTCTAAATGTTGCAAAAGAATTGCACTTAGCACTGCTTGAGGAAAAGTTTAGCTGAGGAAAACACCTAGTGTGTGCTGACCTCCAAAGCTCCTCCCCATCTGCGTTGCATTTTTTTAAAAAGCTTATCACGATGGCCAGATGTCAGTTCAGGCAAATCCATAGGAATGCAGTAACAGATACCAGGATCTGGCCTAGGGCTGGCTTTGATCCAAAGCCTACTAAAATAAATGGGAGTCTTCCCAATGAAGGCCACGTAGGTTTTGCACATCTTCATGCTGTTCTGCTAAATACTGCTAAGCGTCACAGAATCATAGAATATCTCAAGTTGGAAGGGACCCATAAGGATCATCAAACACAACGCGCTGCTCCTTGCAGGACTAGCTAAAACTAAACCATATGACTAAAAGCATCATCCAGATGCTCCCAGAATAATGGTCCTGATGCCTGTACCCTGCCAAAAGTTCTGCTATCAACTTCAGTGCCTCTCACTGGTGTTTAAACTAGGTTTGGTTGAATATATTTTCCCAGTTTTGCTTCCATTCAAATATCAGAGGCCCAGGAGTTCAGTTAAATGTCAGAGCTAACAGGCTTGCATCTCACTTAATGCTGTGAATTACGAGGTTTAAAGATGGCAGCGAGAAGTAAACTAAAACCGGAACAGAATATAGGTATCATTAAGCAGAAAATACAGGGAGATCAGAGGAAATCCTTCTACAATTAGGAAATGGGGCCTTTCAGGGTATTTCTGCTAGCTTCCACTTCAGATGACATGTCCTCTTTGCATGCTTTTCTCTCTTCTTTGACTGTGAAGAATATCTGCATTTCTAGCTCAGCTGGAAACACTGACAGTGTCTGCCTTTGGCCAGAGCTGGGGCTGGCCCTGTGTCCTCTGCAAACACTGGCTGACTGCCCCCCTACCCTCGTGTGTTTTTAGCTGTCTAGATACCACAAATCCATCAGCTCCTTCAAAGAAGCAGAACCTCACATGTCCTGAGTGAATTCTAATAATCTCTGTGGAAGTATACAGCTGAAGGGGAATATCGTGTTGGGGGGCCAAATTTCTGTTCCCAAGATACATAACAAGTTTCAGAGGCCTTTAAATTAGTTCTCTATTGTAGAGAACCTTCCCAAAACTACATTAGATAGGCAAGTATTAGTACAGGTATTTTACAAACAGTTCTCTCTGTGGAGCACAGAGAGAGTAAATAATTTCTCCAAAATAGCCTAGTGAATTGAGAGAACAGAATCAAGAATTCCTCTGACATCCTCTGAAACCACTCAGGAAAAAACCCTCCCTCCTAACACACTGCAGCATTTTCTCATTTTCAGTACAATTTGAGTCAAAAAAAAGAGAACAGCCAGGCAATTTTTTAAGAAGTTCTATTGCATATCACTGTCTTGGAAAATATAAAGGAATGCTACTTACGCCATAACAATAACACTGAAATCCAGCCAGTTCCATGGATCTCGAAGGAAGGTGAATTCTGTCATGCAAAATCCTCTCGCCAATATTTTTATCAATGACTCAAAAGTGTAAATGCCAGTGAAAGTGTACCTGGGGAACAAAGTGGCCAAGATAAGCAAGAGCATTAAGAAAGCAGTAGATGTTAGGGATGGCAGAGGCACACTCAATCCAGTCCTGCTCACATGAGACACTCCTGCCCATCTTGTTGGAGTTGCTCATGTGAGTCATGGCTGCAGCGCTGGGCTGTGTGTGAGCAGCTTCATGTGTGGACCAAAGAACATGTAGGAAGTGGGAAAGCGCTCATGACAGCCGCAAGATGAAGATAATTTTGACCACAGGGTATACTTTGATGAATTCTCACTCATTAAGTCAAGCATGAATACTACACTGCTAAACTGTGGTATGGGACTTTTGAAGCTCTGCTTGCAATTGCCACTGAAAGAGTAGCACATTCCTTGTTTCTCTGATTTGAAGGAGGATGGTTGTTCCATTCATACCTCTCATCTCTTCCTGCCCAGGACATTTTGAAGGACAGCAAGTTAAAAAATGTCATCACTTGGTTTTATTAGCTGAAAAGAATATTCCTCCTGCATCTTCCGCTGTGTTTCATTATCCATGGTAAATCACACCAGCCCTCAGAATTAAACAGAATGCCCTCACTGAAAAGGAAAGCAACTCCCACCCACACAGTATATATAGTAATTTTGACCTGCTTGACAATAAAAGAGACACAAGGGTGTTTTTTTCCCATAGAAGGATAAGTTGTTTCTTACCAACAGCTCCTTCACTGTGATGATCTTGGATAGAAAATACATCTTACCTTTTGTAATAAAGATGATACTTGTAATAAAATTAAGCATATTCTCTGTGGAGGACAGTAATGTATCTGACTTACAACATTCAGATCTATACTCACCCAGGGCTCTACCTACCATCAGAGACATACCTCTGGGCATACAACACCTCTTTTTTAATGTTTCTGCCTAAGACATCTAGCCCAATGAGACTAGGTATTCTAGGCCATATCTTAATATAAATAATAAATGTTTAGTATCCACCAAGAGGCATTCTCTACCCCTTTTCTCCAAATGAAGATGCAGATGATACCAACACCTATTAAAAAACCCACCAAACAAACACCTAAAATCCCATAAAACACAAATCTCATAAGTTATGATGTTAGAGGCTTTTACTGGAAACACTAGCTTGAATTTTCTGTTCAGTCCCTAAGCATCAGTAGCTATAATGTGCTATCAGACACAAAAAATTATAAAAGTTGTGATTCCTGTTTGGTAAAGAAAAGGTGTAAGCAATCAAAGGTGGTAATATGAGGAAGAACTTCACTGTGAATAAAAGGGAAATGTTTTCTCTTAGCTGTATTCCGCTGATCTGCAACTGGGCACACATACAGATAGTGGCAAATCTCACGCCCTCCTGCCATCATGCCACACAGCAGAGCTAGTTACACATGTTATAAAACCTCAGAATGCTTCATCTTAAAATGCAGATTAGCACAGTTTTTGTGCAACAGTGGGCATTCAATGTTTCTCATATCTCCTCTTTGACTGTACACCTGAGCATTATCTTGTATCTTGACTTTTCATGGCTCCTATTTAGTTTTGTTCTGGTATTTAAAATATAGGTCACCCATGTGACAGTCTCTTTAAGCATGTGTATTCAGTAATACATGCAGAATACACATGCAAAGAACTTAAAAAAAAATACTTAACGGTACATAAGCTCATTAAAATGATAAAGTACTTGTGTTTATTCAGCATGTCAGATGGTTTAATTGATTGTATAATCATCATCTAATTCTAAATGGATCGGGCAAAGTCCTCCAGCAACCGAACATCTTCTTTAGCAACAGAAATCAGGATTTTTTAAAAAATGTTTAGTGGAAGGAAGTTGAAGTGATTTGTTTCTTCAAAATGGTAAGGAAAGTGTTTTAAAGAAAGATCTAGGACAAATACTTGCACAAGGTTACTCTTGTATCCCCTGTGAGTCTCTGGAACAGCAGAACAAAATGGATTAAATGTATCTTTTCCAAATCCAATATTAATCAATTTGAATTACAGTGCATTGGGTTATTTTGCTCCTCAGAAGTACTTGCCTTTGATTTCATTTTATGCATTTGAGGAGGAAAAGCTGAGAGGTATGAGGGAACGCAGACAAGAGGAAACTCCATGCTGCATGAGTCCATTTGAATTTCTGCTCTACATTTCTTGCATGCCCTGCTTGATGCACTGATAACATCACCCACATTTTCCCGCTTACAGAAGACACAACAAGCACTTTGATACTTTCCTCCAGAATGTTCAAATACCCAGAAGTAGACCTGCTGTCCAAATTTTGACTCACACGGATGAGATGTCCATGTTTCAGCTGAATACATCACAGCTATGGTACTGTATGACAGTTTTCAGTAGGAAAAGGACAACGTCATGGGAAACGGGAAGTCACAGACATACTTGAGGGTACTACACTGTACAGAAGTACATGGAACATCCTGGGATTAGGATGTTATTGTGATCAGATGAAATATTTGGTTCAGTGCTGTCTATAATTAGTAATTTATGGCCTAGAAGATGTGCCCTGCATGATTTTATGAAACTTAAAATAAGGGCAGTTTACTGTCTTTCCTTACAGCCCTGAGTAGACCAACCACCAGGCTATGGAGCAGCAGATGGCTGTGTTTATCATATGTCAGTCAAAAATAAAAACTGTGTTCTGATTGGTTCAATGAGCCAAAATAATTGTTTAATGCACTGTAGGTTGATTAGCTTGTGCATCTGGTATCTGTTTCTAAGAGGAATATTTTAAAGCAACTTAAAGAAATGAAATGGGCTTTCTGAAGCCCATTAACCTCTTTTAAAATTAATTTTAAAAAGAAAAAGAAACAATAAAAAAGACCTTCAGGTGGTATCTTTGCTATTTTTTTCTAAAGGTCTGACAAGCTAAAAAGACAGGAATACACATAAAAGTGTTCTCAGACAGTTGTATGCTTGCTCATAAATTATGCCTACCAACAATTGCAGGGGAACACTTCTCATGATGCGCTCAGTCCAAAAGAAAATTTTTCTTCCAATAAGTTTCAGTTCAAGGACAGAACTAAATATGTCCAGGAAGTACTATCTGAAATAATTCAACTTAAGCTTCATCAGCCTATTTGAATGTGTCCAACCATCAAATCTCTTGCATGGGAACTGTGGAAGGCTGGCCAGTTTCAAATGGAGTTCTCCTCATAGGTGATTTCATTCAGATGTAGCAGAGCGGGTGTATTTAGCAGTAAGTATGAGCTTGGTAAACTAAAAATTGTTAGTTTACTTACTAAGGGAGGCTTCACAGGAAACAAGCAACTGGAAAAACATTTTGTCAGGACAGATACAACAGTCAGTATTGCCGGAAAGAAATTAGACAACAGCAAACAAGATGAAAAGAAGAACATAACAAAGAGGAAGGACAAGCTAAGGGCAGGGCAGTGTAAACCAGCAAGAATACTTACTCAACATATTTATTCCATGATGGAGTCTCTGATTGTGCCATGAACACACAATTAGTTAAAATAGTGCACATAATGAACATACTGAACAATGTAAATAAGTGAATTAAGGAAAACAATGCATATGTTGTAAGACTTCATAAATTTTTGTAATTTCACACAAGATGTGACAGCCCACTCATAATTTGCAAGTTGCTTAAGAAGGACTATAGACATTTGTTTGCAAGTGCATAAGGAAACAAATAATTATATAAACATAGAAAAAATGAGGGAACCTTCCCTGCTATTTTTTTCTTTGCCTACATCTTTTATACACACTTTATACAGTAAACAAATGTACTGACTCTGCAGTCTTCTGCAAATACAATACCCCAAATTTACAGCTGTGTTGGTCAGATAACAATGTGCATAGGTGTACAACTTTGAATGAAAAGAGGGATTAGTCTCATTTAAGTATTACAGAAAAACTTGTGTCTGCAAATTCCTATTTTATTTTGCATCCTGAAACATTTCTCAGGCAGTAGGGCAAGTTATAAATCTGGTCTTTCTAATCTCTCTAATGGGCTTTAGGTCTCGCTTTCAGTATAAAGTTTCACCAAAAGCTAATATGAGCTTCAGAGCACTAATTTTAAGGCTTGGTCTGCAAACCTGCTTGGCACATACACAGTCTTGGTCTGCAAAGCTGACTGCCTCAGCTGAGGCACCAGTTTCCCTAATTGGAGGCTAAACCAAACCTCCCAAGAGTATAGTCCATGCACTTAGCTGCTAAGCTAAGGCCATAAATACGAAAAGGAGCACCCTAAATCCAATTCTTGAAATCGAAAACATAGTTCACTGAACTGCCCTCCTAAAAGCACATGCCACTTTCTGTAAAAAAATTACAAAATATGATGGAATTTTCCTGAGTAAATAATAGGTCCCATGCTATTGGAGAAAGTTTAACTAATGAGTTTAAGTGGACAGAAGATAAGGCAAAGGAAAGCCTACAACTCAGTCAATAGTCTGGGACCCCACGGAAGAACAGTAGCATCTAAATGTAAATTTATTTTGCCTTCTTTAGAAAAAAAAAATAAACTGTTTTTTGTTTGTTTGAGAATGGTGATTGAAGAATATAATTTCAAATGTATGTCCTAAAATGTTTGCATTAATACTGTTCTTTCAGAGAGCCAATATCTCTGCTGAATACAGTTTGGAACAATTTCTGATGGGCCACATAAGCAACTACAAGGTTAAATTGGTAGTAAGCATCCTGCATATCCCCCAGCGCCATCGCAGAAAGCAGTAATTGAACTCAAAGGGACTGCTCATCTCACAAACATTTTCCACTTCTGGGCCAACACCTCCTACTGAACAAAGGAGATCTGATTTTCAGTCACATTTTCTCGTGTCAGCTTGAGATTCGTTTCTATAAGTTGTGTCCATCTGGTTAACACAATTAGGTTGTAAGCTGCAGCTAGCTTAGAAAACACTGGATTATTTTTTCAAGCACATTAAAATGCTATGACATGCTATGAAAACAACAATAGTAAAACTGAGTGGTATCCTCAGGCCATGCCAAACAATTATACTTCAATTCAATTCCAAGCAAAGAAATTCCTCTATAAACACCCGTTTTAGGATCACTGGTCTGATTTATACATCCCTGTTTCCTTGTGGTATAAGATGGGTCTAACAGCTTTCCCAGATGCTCACTTATAGGCAGGTGTCATCACCTTCTTATTCAAACACCAAAGACAGTATTCCGGAGAACACAGGTTGAAAATGTAAGCGATCAGCTTTGGGACATCAAATGCACTATGAATTCAACCTGAGTTTCATGACCAAGCTGAAAACTCCAAAGAGCATAAAAGAATGAAACATTTCAGCTGGTTATGCACCAAAGTTGGAGATCTGTGTTAAAAGACAGAGAAATTACTACGGAATGAAAATTAGCGTTCCTACCTGAAATCTAATGCAATTGTTTGCATGAGAAAAAGTCAGTGATGATGATCTACTCAGAAAGGGCAAAGTAAAGGAGATGAAATTGAGATAAGCTATATTAGCAGCATCGCCTGTTACCTATCCTAGAACTGCTATTAATTCCATTTTTTGAAAACCTACTGATCCATCAGTTGACATGGCTAACGTTTCCAGAAGTAAGTGTTGGACTCTGTTATGGATCACAAACCAAACATACTAAACTACTCATCAGGATCCTTTCTGCAATAAATTAAACCTATTATATCCAACTTGAAGTTATAGAATAGGCTTTGTGCAAATTGATTCTAAAAGTTATAAATTTTATCTTCTAGCACAAAGATAATGAGTCGAACATGGCATACTTCTAGACTTCATTATGATGGATAATTGTTAATTAGCAGAAAGAATAGTAGAAGCTTTTTAAGCGATCATTGCCAAATTACATATAATATGTACAAGCAAATGTTAGTCCCAATCAATAGTACATATAATTGGTGTTTTACAACGTCTCATTTTCCTTTATGGAGGAAAGCATGTACAATCAGATGGGAGAAAAGTTGCAAGCAGAAAATAGGAACAAAGATTGGAAATTCTTTAAGAATTTTATTTTATTTTATTTTATTTTTTTTTAATGGGCCAGAATCCATAATTCTAGAATCAAGGAAGGTAATTTTGGCCAAAACTCCATTCTGAAGCAGTGGTAAACTGAGAGCAACTATCTATAATACCTAGAAAAACTAGCAATAGCAACTGCTATGGATTTTATACAGGACAGCAAACTGCTTGCAGAAAGTAAGGACATCACAGAATGGTCCTTGACTTGCAGGCAAGATCTAAGAGGAGTCTTTTAAGCACAAAGCATCAATGAAATGTTAGCAGTGGTTTAAGCTTATAAATAGGTGGAGATAGTAAATAATGATGCTAATAATAGCTAATAATGATGCAGAAGGCAAAAAGCATTCATCCAATGGGATGCAGACCTACACTCCCCATGTCCTCTGTGACAGAAATGGACTACGGCCTTGTTCTGTGCAGCTGTCTGGGCCATGGTCATTTCATGGGGCCTCCTAGACTCTGAGGAAGATGAGACATATCTAGAAGAGGTTTAGAGATATGCTGTTAATTGAAGTAATTCACATCACTGGGAGGCTGTGGATGTTTTTTCCCTTGGAAGGGTGTATTTTTGAATGACTAGACTAAACCGGCTTGGCTGGATGAGCAGTGAACACACAGGATCTATCCTGCCTGAAGTCTCAGAGGAAGAACTCCACATACAGCTACTTAACCAAGAAATGTGACCCTCGGCAGCTGCTCTATAGGATGATTTTACTCTGTCCTCTCTATTCTGTTCTACTGTTGGCCTTCATGGTACACTCAATGACTGGAAATGGATATATGGCATCTACTAAAGATGTTGCTTCAGACACTTACGTGACAGGGCACCATTTGTTAATGCTCTTTTTTGTTGTGTTGTGGTTTTTTTTTTTTCCCCTGGGGAAAATAAAGATTGCTTGATTACACTCACGCAAGACAATACATCTGGTTCCCAGATTCATGTCTGTGATATTATCTGCTTGAGTACTTGCCGATTCAGGCTCCTTTTTGCCTGGGATATTGACTGCCTGCTTAGCCAATTGGCCTTTGTGTTTCATGTTGATGTGAAAGGTGATTCTGTCTTTATCGACAGAAAACAAATCCGTGCCTAATGCAGGAACTTCACTGCTGTTTCACTGGGACTGGAGCTGTGCCTCCTGCCTGTGCTTGCCAAAGATTGAGCTGTTGGATTTCCTGACATTATCAACATAGGGTGATAACTTGGGTCTTTCTGGAACTAAAATGCTATTTGCACCTTCCACTCCTAAAATGTTACACTCTTTAGCTGACCATATCTCTGTTCCTGACATCTTTCAAATTCACTCCTCTGTGGTTTTTATACTTGGAAGTAATCTGGTAAGGATTTCTTGCATACTCATCTTTCGGTTGACAACCAAGGGCATGTAGTTCCTCTGGACTTCACCAGTCAGCGTAAAAGAAAGTAAGCAGAAGACAGAAGAGGCCTCCAAAGATGGAGACAATACTCACACATACATGTCTTTTTCTAACAAGCTAAATTTTCAGATTCTTCTCTTAACCATACCGGTGCAAACTCATTGACCTCAGTTAACTTCAGCAAGGCTGTGCTGATGTAACTGTACCTAACAAACACTGTTGGGCTCTGGGTATGCAGCAGCATGTGCTGCACTGCTTGCATGTATAACCTGATCCATAAGCAAATCTCTCTCCAAAATTCTGTGGTCTGTTCTTAGTAACCGTAATAATGTCTTGGCTGATAACACATATTCATTTTTGCATAGAATTATTGTAACTAGAAGCTTCACCTACTTTTCTTCTTACTAGAATATCTATATTCTCACTTTTTTTTTTTCTTCTCACTGTATGGACAACCACTGGAAATCTGGTTTATTTCCCTATTTTTTTCACTGAAATATGATAATAAACCAATGATTCTAAGATGCTACCTGTTTAGTACTTAGTACTCTGTGGTGGACATGAGCATTGCAGACGAGGGACTTCCATCATTAAAAAATCACATGGTTGTCACATCAGCATGTGGAGTCTTTGAATTATCACTGCCAGGTCTCCCATGCACACTATAGAGAAAGAGGGCAACTCATGAAAAAGGGTGTGTTATTAGTAATGTTCATACAAAGCTGAACATTTGTGTCAGTTTGGTCTTCCAGAGAGCTGTGACTATTTCAGAATATAATTTTTCTGTGGCCATGTTAAAAAACACAAGACAAAACGAACAGCTGCAGTGCATCTTGCATGACTTTAAAGCTAGAGCTAGGGGAAATCGGGCATTGCCCTTCCATTGAAAGGTCCAGCAGGCCAGCCTGTGCTTTCATCCCTAGCTGGATAACACATTGCAATAAACAAACTAAAAATTTGAGAAAACAATTTTTTAAATGTCCTGTTTCAGGAGAGAAAAAAAAAATTCAGTTCTGAGGCAGTTCAAAATTAAATTGTGTCTGCATATGGTGTCACAGGGTCTCATGGGAGACGTTGCTTAAGTGCTCAGTAACAAAGCTCTCCATCAGTGTAGATTTTCCCAGATGTGCTTCAGCCTCTTGGTTCCCTTCCTTTCTAAGGCACCCAGTTTCTTCCACTGGCTCTTTATCAAACATGATCAAGCCCTTCACACCTTTTAATCCTGAGCAAACTCACCAGAGTTTCCAGTGCAGTTCACATTATCTGATGCCAGCAGTATACTGTTGTAATTTTCATAGCTCACATAACAATATAAAATGAAACAAACCAAAAATCCGAATGTATTTCTGCTTGTGCAAGGAAATTCAGCCAAAAGATTTAAAACAGCTTAATGAAATAAAATGGTTTCTGACTTCCATCCATGTTTGAAAAACATATAAAATACATCAGGAGGGAAAGCAACAGAAAGGATATGAATGTACCAAAATTTTAATTGCTGCTCTTCTGACTGGATGGAAAGGACTAAGTATATACAAGGCAGGAGTGGCACTAAATCGAAAGATTGTCTTCCCTTTGTTCAGTACTATAAATGTCTGGAAAACAAAATAGAAAATGAGAACATTCAGTATTTACATTTATGCTCGGCTTTTCCCAGCCCATGTCCCACTGGGAAATTCCTACCAGCATCCCATACTTCTTCCCCACTCCCTCCTGAGACCCCCAAACTCCTTTTCAGTTGGTGAAGAGTTTTGTCCAAGACCCTCCCAGCAGAGCTGTTGTCTGTCCTATTGCAATATCCCAACTATTTATTCTTCCTTCACTCCTTACAGGGTCCTGTGCCATCGCCTCCATCAAAGGGCTGGGAAGAGAGTGGAATCACCTTTAAAAATAAAAAATGACCTGGAGACTGAAATGTAGTGGAGGGATTTTTATGATGCTCTTCTTCCCAGGTGCCAGGAACCTTGCTATGCTGTTACTCCACCTTCTCAAACTCGAGCACTTTGCTGCTCTCAGTTGATGTTTTTTGTCTCACCGAGTAGGAAGCGGCATGAGGCACAGCTCCACAGCAGGACCTGACGCTGACACTGAGGCACTGTCATTGTACTGAGGTTAATATAGGCAGAGAAAACCAATACCGTGAGTTATCTCAAAGCCAAAGCAAAGGTGAGTTGGATGCTCACCCAATTTACAGAGCTCTGAAGATGCCTCACCATGCGTAGGGGAACTAATATTCACTCAGAGACAGGATCAGGACACCCAAACTCTAAACAACTCACCCACCTTGAGTCTAAGACCTTCATGACTCCAAAATCGCAAATCTATATCCTGCTGCTTGTGCCTGGGGATAGCAGGCAAATTAAATGGCAAATTAATTCTGGCCCTTCAAGGTAAGTAATCTATCTTACTTTATCCATTTAACTTTTATTCTGTAGTTCTCGCACCTGTTTCTACACTGTTTTAATAGAAGTAGCATTGTGGTCATATCAATTCATTGTTTACAGGAAATAGCATAGCCCAAAACCAGGAACAGCAGTACCTGAAAGAACTGGAAGCTGCCTAAAAATACACTGTGCTTCCAAGCCTTATTTTGTCCTCCGTTTTTGAAATGTTTGGAAAGGGGAATGAACTGTAGTAAGCAACCAACCCAGCACTGCTGTCAACAGCCTTTTGACAGAAGCTGTTTGCACTGTTGTGGCTTTGGTCCAGCCTACACGTGATTCCTCATCAGGTGACGCTCACTTTGGGATGAAGCTTACTCTTCTGCAAAATGCCAGCATTGCACATGCTACTCACATCTACCTTCAGCTCTATTTCGGTC